AATGAGATGCAACTTCACACGCACTAGGGTGCCTGTTTTAAAAAAAACCAACCAACCAACCAACAAAAAAACAGAATAATGAGGGTAGTCCAGGCTGTGGAGAAATTGGAAACCTGGTACATATTGCTAGAAGGAATGTAAGATGCGCAGCAGCTGTGGATACAGTATGGCAGTTCCTCACACAATTAAACACAGAATGACATTTGACCCAGCAATTCCACTTTTAGGTATACACACAGAACTGAAAGCAGCGACTCACACGGTTATTTACACACCAGTGTCCACAGCAGCATCATTCCCAACAGCCCAAACGTCCATAGCAGGTGAATGGATAAGCAATGTGCCGGAAAGACATTCACTGGGAAAATTATTCAGTCTTAAAAGGGAAGGAAGTTCTGACTCATGCTGCACTGGATGCACCTTGAAGGCAATAAGCTAAGTGAAATAAACAAGACACAAAAAGGCAAATATTGTATGATTCCATTTACAAAAGTATCTAGAGTAGTGAAATTCAAACAAAATAACAGGTTGCAGGGGCTGGGGGAAGGAAGGAATGAGGAGATGTTGTTTAATGGGTACAAAGTTTCAGTTTGGGATGGTGGAAAGGCTCTGAAGATGGCCGCACAGCACTGTGAAGGCAATTAATGCCACTGAATCACACCATTAAAAATTGTTAAAATGAGGCCGGGTGCAGTGGCTCATGCCTGTAATCCCAGCACTTTGGGAGGCCAAGGTGGGCAGATCACCTGAGGTCAGGAGTTTGAGACCAGCCTAACCAACATGGTGAAACCCCATCTCTACTAAAAACACCGAATTAGCCAGGCGTGGTGGCACATGCCTGTAATCTCAGCTACTTGGGAGGTTGAGGCAGGAGAATTGCTTGAACCCAGGAGGGAGAGGTTGCAGTAAGCCAAGATCGTGTCATTACACTGCAGCCTGGGCAACAAGAGCAAAACTCTGTCTCAAAAAAAAAAAAAAGTTGTTAAAATGATGTTTTATTATGCATATTTTCTCACAAAAAAATGGGAAAAAACCAAAACACAGCAAAACTAGATCTTCCACCCCCCTCACAAAAAAGTTAGACCATTTGGTGTAAATGTATGAAATATCCTTCCCTCTGCCTGCCAGTTGGCAACCTTATTTTAGAATGTCCATACTTTGCTTAAGGCAAGATTTAAAAGATTTCTCCAAATACCCACCCAATCAAAGTTTACCTGATATTCAATAATAAGGTAACACCCCCAAATATGAAATGCTAAGTCTCACAAAAAAACACTTTTGGCATTTAAATATCCAACATCTCAACCTTTTGTCTTATTAAATGATTACAAAAATGTATAATATTTTAAAACCATGAAATAAACTAGGTAAAATTAAGGAGACACAAATAAAATACAATGTCCTTGCTGAAGACCCTGAATAATGACCTTAAGAAATATCTGAGTCTGACAAAATACTAGATACGAGGAGTCAGTGCCAAGGGCAACCAAGCTGATGCTCTTTCCCATCAGTGGGGTAAGCTCTGAAGCCTCCAGAAAGCTGAATCAGGCCCCATGTCTTTCTTCTTTGCTCAAACATTAATTTCTGACATGGTGGGCATGTCACCAAATGATAATACTTAAATAAAGCAAGTTCACATGTTTTGTTTAAAAAAAAGAAACAATCTAGTACATCCACAAATAGAAAACCACACACACCTGAACACATTGATGATGAAATAAGAATATTTAATGGCATGGAATGATATGTACACTCGAGGTTCAAAGTTTTCAAAACATATCCAGCACTTATGGCTGCCTGTGTAGAGTAAAAAGATAGAAAGGTATAACAGAGAATATTTTTTACAATTTATAAAGTTTAATGCAATTGAGAAAGGTTTCTATAAAAATTGTTAAAATATTTTAGAGGGCAAATGCTTATTTTGCATAGCAATGCTTCAGTTACCTGGAATGCCCTCTCTGCTTTCTTCCAAGCAAATTTTATGAAGTACTAAGCTCAGTGGCTCTGCTCCAAGTGCGAACAAGGTGAACAACCCAGTTCTTCCTCTCATGGAATTCACATTCTGGTGGAATTTATTTTTGCAACATACTTGCTGACAATATCAAATGAATAATCCATTAGTAGTGAAATGTAATTTCACACTCTCCAATCTGGTCCTCATTTTGATAGATGTCTTCCTATGAGATGGATGCAAACTCACAGCAAAAACTATGCCTATACATACAGCCACATGCCACATGACGTTCAGTCAACGATGGACCACATATATAGTGGTGGTTCCACAATATCGTGTTTTTGCTATGCCTTTTCTATGTTTAGATACATAAATGTTTACCACTGTGTTAAAAATGCCTACAGTCGTCAGTAGAGTCACATGTTGGGGGAAGCAGCAATGGAGGAAGGGTTTACAGTGTGCCTACATAAACTGGTTATAAGTAATATATAAAAGAAATCAGGAATAGTAAACTGTGGAAAACTGTAGGAGGCCTCTGGGGAGGAAGGACTCTCTATTGCCAGCATGTTCCCAAGTACAGAGTGACCTAAGCTCTGATATTTTAAACATAGTGCCCAAGGACATAACACCCCCTTGAAGCACTGGAATGTAACCAGACACGAAGGCTCCTTGCTAAGCCTGCTCCTACCAGCTGCATTATCAATGGAGAAGCATATGCTTTTAGCTCTTGAGAAACGCACATAAACTGCCACTGCTATCAATCTTACATTTGGCGCACAGCTTCTCTTTCACTGATTCACCCCACCATCTGCTCTATAGATAAAAGTGATTGTATTCAATAAATATGGTGGAAACCAGAGCTTGGGGCCTTTGCAGCCTCCTGTTCACTCTGGCCCTCTGGTCCCACTTTATGCATACTTAACCTGTCTTTTTCTCATTTCTTTTTTGCCACTGAAATTGGGGTATCCATAGGTGGTATGTGGGGGCCAGTACCCTACAGTTACATGCTGTCCAGGCTTGTAGCCTAGGAGCAATAGGCCATACCATAGAGCCCAGGTGCACAGTAGGCTGTACCGTCTAGGTTTGTGTGTCACTCTATGATGCTTATACCGTGACAAAATTGCCTAATGATACATTTCTCAGAATGTATCCCCATCTTTAACTGATGCATGACTGTATTTTACTAACCTGGCCATCTAGGACTTTCACCAATAAAAATTCTACATGGAAAATGCTATTTATTGTTTCTTTCAGACATTAGAGATTCCTTTAGTTTTAAATAATCTTGTTACACAAACTTATTTCTCTTGTTCTTCAAATATGATAAACCAAGATTTTTAATATTAGCAGGTATGACTTCCACCTACATATATGGTCTTCCACCTACATATATCGGCAACTGTGCTTAAACATTATTTTATTTCCCCATTGCTAAAGGATTTCACTCTTGTGGCTAAAACTATACAATTATAAATACTCATTTGCAATACTTCTCTTTGAACAAATTTGCTTATATAAGATACTTGCTGATCACCTTGTAAACTACTTAACTGTAAAACATGGTATGACTTAGAGTGCCTTGTATATTTTAGTTGTAGTTTTGCATTTTAAAATGTATCAATTATGCTATATAACAAATTAGTTTTAAATTATTTTATAATTTTGATGGGCTATTTGTCAGTCCCCAGGCCTACCAGCATACTAGATGATGAAATTCATAATAGCTCTTGAGGAATAGAGGAACATTTACACCCAGAGTTGCTCAGAAAGTTCTGGGCATGTTCCAGCTGTCACTTCCCAGGTGGAACCAGCCCTGATGGGATCCTCACATCCTCTTCCCATCTTATGAGACACGACGCTGAGCAATTGCCCACTGACAGGTTTAGGCTTTTAGAAAGCCTCTCAGACTAGGCCAGCTTCTGCCAATCCTGCCAATCCTCTTTGGCCCCTATGATGCTGTAAAGGCAATGTGGTACTCACCTCAGCAGCGCACATACTAAAACTGGAACCACACAGAGGTCAGTATAGACCCGTGCACAGATGACACACAAATTCATGAAGTGTTCCACATATGTATATGTATATTTTTTGAAACAGGGTCTTGCCCTGCCACCCAGGCTGGAGTGCAGCATGTTATCATGGCTCATTACAGCCTCAACCTCCCAAGCTCAAGAGATCCTCCTTCCTCAGCCTCCCAAGCAGCTGGAAATTCAGGTGCACAGCACCACACCTGGTGAATTTTTGCATTTTTTGTAGAGATGAAGTTTTGCCACGTTGCCTAAGCTGGTCTCAAATTCCTGGGTTCAAGTGATCCTCCTGCCTCGGTGTCCCAAAGTGCTGGGAATACAGGAGTGAGTCACTCTACCCAGCTGTGTTCCATATTTCTACACACAGCTGCACATATGGAGGAGTATATGTTCAGAAAAGTAAAGCTGGGGAAATGTGAATAAAATCAGTGGGCTGTATTAATGTCAATATTCTGATTGTGGTATGTGTGAAATGTTACCACTGAGAGAAATTGGGCAAAGTATACAATGTATGTGACTCTATGATTACATCATATAGAATTTGATTGCACACAACATATAATCATAAAATACATAACCTATATAATGGTATGATTACATCAATATAATGTTTAATTTTAAAAAGACTAATGTAGCTAAGGCAGGTATAATGCATGAGCATAATATGGGAAGCCTACCTCACTGATACATACAATTTCCTTGGTCTCTGCACCTGAGACAACAATCTCCTGGTCTAAAGCTTTAAAAAAGTACTTATTGTTACCTCATCACTATACTAATGTGCAAAACATATGAAATAAGATAGGAAATGTCCACGAGGGCCAGTGATCAAAGGAAATAACAGACAAAAAACCCCAAAAAACAAAAACACTATACACCCTTCCCTAAAAGTTTACATGAGAGCTGAGGGTTCAAGTGAATATTTCTTTCCCTTCTGGAAGAGGCCTCATGAAGGTGGTAGAATAAATAATTATCCACAAAGAATTGTCAGGCATTCATCCCTAGTGAAAACTACTAAGTCACAACTAACAACAAAAAAAAATTTTAATGATATTTTTATAGTACAAATAACTAAACTGAGGCAGGCAGAGGGAAGTAGGAGAATCCACACAACCACAGCTATAGCACTTTAAATCTTGACAGCCCCAGGTGCTGAGAATGAACGCGGGTCCCAGCAGCCCAGGCTTCTCTGTTCCTCCTCTCACAGGCATAGCCTGGGTAAAGACATCTCTTGGGCTCTTGCCCCGACTTGTCCATTCATAAGCATTCCAACTGTGATGTTTGAAACTGTCTACCTCCGCAGATCCACCCAGTCCAAAGGCTCACTGCAGTTGCCCCTCAGCCCCCTTCAAACTAGACTTCTGGTTTCTTCTTTCCTTCTGCCCCTGAATTCGGAAGAGCTTCTTCCTGAGGTCCTTCTGCCACTTCAGCTTCTCCTCTTCCTCCTTCTGCTTGGCTCTGAAGTGCTCTTTATTGTGTAGGTGCTGCTGCTCCTTGACCTTCTTCATCTTCTGACTATGCACGGTACTCAGAGCATCCAGCAGCGTGAGCATCAAAATGCTCTCTCAGTCACCGCACACTCGCATCCTAAGCACTAAGACTAGGGGCAACCCACGATTCAAATGAATATTAACTGCACGAAAATGCATTCTGCGCTAGGAAGTCATTGTTGGCATGGAGACACAGATGTGATTGCATTTTACCTTTAACACCGCTGTTCATCATTCAGTGGACACTGTACAGCTAACAAGGACAGAAGGGTTCCCCAGCCGTGTGTCTGTTATCCCCCATTCAAAAGCACAGGCAGAGCAGGACCAGGCAAAGGAAGGGAAATGGACTCTGGTTCTTCCTCTGACTTTAGTTTCAATGCCCTGAATAACTGAGACTGCATCAGAAACATGAAGTGTGCTGCTAAGAGTGTTCTCTTCCTATCTAAATGCAGCGTGCAGTATGGCATGGGCGACAGTACCTTTCTTTCATGAGGCTCGCGTATGACGGCTGGTCTCCGCCTGTCCTTTGGCACCTTGCCTGCCTTTGCTTGGGTCTTGGGCTTGTTCTTAAATGGCAGGGCCTTCAGCAAGGCTTTTGGAATGTGCAGTGAATTAAAATGTTTCTTTTGCCTCAGGATTGGCTGAAAAGAAAAATAAGGACTGTGTCATATTCAAATTATGATCAATGTGCATTTAAAACTTCTGCATAAAATCTTCTCATTGGGTTGACTTTTCCACAAGATCAGTAAATAGAGTCCGCTGGCCCTGAGAAATCAGGACTCAACTATCCGCCAAATATGGACTGTCTCAGTGGACACCCACAATTCTCAGTAAACAGAGGAACAGAGAGCTTATACTTACAACTCTCCCCCAAAACCCACTGTGTCCATTTCTATGGTATGGAACTATGGGGTTTCAACAGAGCAGATGAATAGACCCAAGCTTTCTTTTAATGAAAATTTCAGGCCTTGTCTTTTGTTCACTGAGGTGGTTGTTTCCCAGTCTACCAAAAATAATCTAGCTTTTCACCTTGACTATCAACCACTCTGGATTTTTTTTTTTTTTGAGATGGAGTCTCACCCTGTCATCCAGGCTGGAGTGGAATGGCATGATCTCGACTCACTGCAACCTTCACCTACCAAGTTCAAGCGAGTCTCCTGTCTCAGCCTCCCGAGTAGCTGGGACTACAGGCACACCCCACCATGCCCATCTAAGTTTTGCATTTGAAGTAGAGATATGGTTTCACCATGTTGGTCAGGCTGGTCTCGAACTCCTAATCTCAGGTGATTCACCCACCTTGGCCTCTTAAAGTGCTGGGATTACAGGCATGAGCCACCATGCCCTGCCAATCTGGATTTAAGGACCATTCTTCCTTCAGTCAGCAGCCAAAGTGTCCTGATGCCTGATTCTAATTAAGAAGTTTAACTTTGTTCTATTTCTGATGGAAGGCTGGCTGAAAGAAGGGAGACTCAAATGACAGATGAAGGCAAAATACTCTACTGAATTTCCAAGGTAATCTTAACTTCTGTTTAATCAAGCTGACCCAGTTTCTTAACTGCCTCATAAACACTGTTAATAAATTGAAAGTTTTGTCCTAGGCTTTTATTAAAGTCAACTATATAGAAAAAGTTTCTCCTATGTCTTAAAATTTATTATTAAAGACATCATCTTAATAATCTTTCATATTCTCTGTTTAGGAACCCAAATTGTTTTCAAATTCAAGAATTCAGGGAAATCCTACATCTTACAAAAGAGTAGAATGAACAAGGGGCACCAAAGTGTATTTTAATAAAAATTCATGTAAGATAGTTCAAAATTTCATTAACTATATTATATAAAATAAAAACCTAGGAGACTTCTGTTTCTAGCAGAGTGGCAGACTGATGCCTTGAACAACCCTCTTATTACAAAACTGCATACTCCACAAAAAAGAACAAATCTTTTCAAATGCATTGTTAAGCTTTGAGGAGAATAATGAAAGTTCTAAGAAACCAACATCTAAATAAAAACAGAAGTCCAGACAGGCACTGAAAACCTAAAATTAAAAAAAAAAAAAAAAAAAAAAAAAACCTGAAAAAGCCAGCTGTCAGCAAGCATGTGCAACAGCAGGAACTCTTTAAGCTGCTGGTGGTGGTAGATGCCAAGCCACTGCACCCCCAGAACAGGACACAAAAACCTCAGCACTGAAGCAGAGCACAGGTGCCCTGGAGCTCCCACCCCACCCAGGAAGCCTCCAGCAGAAGTGTGTGTGCCCCTGAGCACCTGCAAGTCCAATATCCAGACCTTAGTATTCAGGGCCATGGGATGATGACCAAAAATGGAAAACCATTTTACCCACCAATGGATAAATGGTGATGCAATCATATAATGGAACTCAACAATGAGAATAAATGAATGTCTGCCATAGACAAAAACATGGATGTGTCCTATAATACTGAATCAAAGAAGCTAGGCTCAATAGCATGTGCTTTATTTTATAAAAGTCAAAACCAGGCACAACAAATCCACATCAGGAACTGGGAAAGCGGCTATTTTGCGGGGCAGGACAGCAGTGCCTGGGAGAGGTCACAGGGTGAGGCTACTGCTTGGTCCAGGGTGTGGCAGCTTGGTGGCCACACTGTTCATCTAAGTGCACACTTAGGATTTGGGCACTCTTCTGTATGTACATTAATATTTCAGTAAAAAGCTTATTGAAACATTCAAACTTCTGTAAAAACCCACATTGCTTCAACAGAAACCCAGCTGACAAAAGAAATCAAGAAAACAACCTTATTTATAATAGTATCAAAGAAAAACAAAAACTTAGGAATAAATTTAACCAAGAAGGTGAAAGATATGTACACTTGAAAATCATCAAACATTGATGAAAGAAATTTAGACATGAACAAATGGAAAGATGTCCTATATTTATGGATCGGAAGAACTAATATTGTTAAAATGTTCACACTACCCAAAGCAAATATACAGATTTAACACAATCATCAAAGTTCTGATGGCATTCTTCATAGAACAGAAAAAAAAAAAAAAAAACCCTGGCTCGCCTCTATAATCCCAGCATGTTGTAAGGCCGAGGCAGGCAGATCATGAGGTCAGGAGTTGGAGACGAGCCTGGACACCATAGTGAAACCCCGTGTCTACTAAAAATACAAAACTTTGCTGGGCATGGTGGCATGTGCCGGTAGTCCCAACTACTTGGGAGACTGAGATTGCAGTGAGTCGAGATCATGCCACTGCACTGCAGCTTGGGTGACAGAGTGAGACTTCATCTCAAAAAAACAAAAACAAAAACAACACACACACACAAACCCCGAAACAAACAATCCTGAAATTCATATGGAACCACAGAAAACCCCAAACAGCCAACAGATTACTGTGAAAGAAAAAGTTGGATCCATCACACCTCCTGATTTAAAATTGTATTACAAAGCTATAGTTAACAAAACAGTGTGGTACTGGCATAAAAACAAACAAACAAACAAAAATCAGACCAATGGAACAGAACAGAGACCTTTGAAATAAATCCAAACATATACTGTCAAATAATTTTTGACAAGGACAAACAAGACAACACAATGGAAAAAAAGACAGTCTCTTCAATAATAGTGCTGGGAAAACTGGATTTTCACATGCAAAAGAATAAAATTGGATCCTGATCATACACCATACACAAAAATCAACTCAAAACAGATAAAAGACCCAAATAAGACCTGAAACCATAAAACTCCTAGAAGAGAACAAAACGGGAAAGCCTCTTGACAGTGGACTTAGTAATAATTTTTTGGATTTCCCATTACAAGCGAGGCTACAAATGCAAATATTTGAAACAAGGAGGACTGCACCAAACTAAAAAGCTTCCGCACAGCAAAGGAAACAACCAACAAAATGAGAAGGGAATCTACAGACTGGAAGAAATATTTGCAAACCACATATCTGATAAAGTGTTAATATTCAAAATCTGGTAAAGAACTCTTACAACTTAATAGCAGACAAACGAGCCAGTTGATAAAATGGGTCAAATAAGAAATGACCAGTAGAAACTGGGGGATGTACAATAAAAGGTACAAAGCAGCAGACATGTGGGATGAACAAGTTAGAGATCTAATGTACATCATGTGGCTATAGTTAATAAAAATGTATTGTCTTTGGGATTTTTGTTAAATTAGTAGATTTTAGCTGTTCCTGTTACACAACAAAATGTAACTATGTGAGATGGCAGACACATTGTTTCACTATAATAACCAGTTTACTGTCTATATGTATCCTTTAAGATCACGTAGTCAACCTCAAATATACAAAATAATTTTCTTTTTTTTGAGATGGTGTTTTGCTCTTCTTGCCCAGGCTGGAGTGCAATGGCACAATCTCGGCTCACCTCAACCACCGCCTCTCAGATTCAAGCAATTCTCCTGCCTCAGCCTCCTGAGTAGCTGGGACTACAGGTGCATGCCACCACTCCTGGCTAATTTTTTTGTATTTTTAGTAGAGACGAGGTTTCACTGTGTTAGCCAGGATGGTATAGATCTCCTGACCTCATGATCCACCTGCGTCGGCCTCCCAAAGCGCTGGGATTACAGGCATGAGCCACTGTGCCGGGCTATAAAATTTATTTTAAAAAAGAAAAGTTTGTCTTCAATCCAGAAAGAAACACTATTACCACTTTTTTGGTGTTCTGTTACAAAATATTCCATGAATATACAACTGTTCAATCAAATTCAATGTTAGACTTTATACTTGGACATTCAAAGCATGTAAGACATTATAGAAAAGTGTCTATGTGACTCCCTGTCTGCAGAGCACAGGCTGCATCTGCACTAACGCACATGTGACTGCTACCTTATACAGAGAGTCCTTGTGTGCCTTTAGTCTGATGCCATGGGCGAGCCTGAGTTGACCTGTGGTCCGCATTCCTGAACAGGTGTCTTTTTCACCCACTGGTTTCAACAAAGATGTTACTGGGTTATAGGAGGCTGGGATTGAAACTGGATACCAAGTTCGCATGAAGACAATAGCTGAAAAGAGAGGTACTTTAACATTTTCAAAAGAAGATTCACATCCATATTGCAAAGAAACAAAGAACAAAATCTGCACTCCAAACTTCTTTACCTGGTGGCAAAGTATGTGAAGAGAAAGCTCGTTAAGAAAACTACTCTCATAGATCACAGTACTGTTACTTGGTGTGACCAGGGGACTGCAGACACAAGGTGCATGGGCACATCGCATAAAACTGGGAGATCTAATACTGGAGCTGCTCAAATCTCTAGAGACCTGACTCTAGCCTCTGGTCACACTGGCTACAAGTCAAGCATGAATGGTAACACCCTTCCCTGAACACCACACTAGACACTCACCGCTCATCAGCAGCTTATCCTCAAAGCTGGCCCGGAAAGCTCCTTCTGGAGCCCGGAGAGCTTTCTTGATCTGCCCCCTTATCCCACTGACAGTTCGAATCATAGCACCTTCAAATTAGGCCACTTCCAAGGCAGAATTAAACATTCCCTACAGGTATAGCAAGATAAAAACATACACACACACTTTACACTTTATATACTTATATGCTCATATACTTTATGCTTACTTCTTATCTGAAACACACATCACTGGTTAAAGAACAAAAACGATGCACTGACAGGTGATAAAATAATCAAACTGTACTTGCCCCTGAAAGTGGAATTACTACCTCAAAAATAATACAACTCTTTCATTTTTCCCAGAATAATCATGTGGGTTTATGGGCATGCTCATCACTGCTGTCTGTGTGGAAGAGAAGATCAAAGAGGGATTTACTGAACTGAACTGGCCTAGGCAGCCTTTGCTGACATCTCTCAGACTGGACCGCAGCCCAGACCCTTTTACTCAGGTGCATGCACTTAGAACATGAAAACAGTAAGATAAATGCCAGTGGTATTATTACTTTATGTTGCAAGAACATTTTATGATCTTCCTAACTGTTGTTTTTAATGGAAACATCCCCACTAAGAAAACTGTCAATAAATGCTGCTCAAACTACCCTCCCCAGATACTGGAAACCAGTACATCCATTTCTCTGTACCTTTGCCAAGTTGTCTGCGAATGCTTTGTCTATTTTCCTACTGAATGGTTAGGCAAACTTGTGATTTTTTTTCCCTTTCTTAACACAAATCCCAAAAGTAGGAAATAAAACCCAGTGGATAAAATGATGTATTTTCAATATGAGTTCTGCAGCAGTCTCACATGGAAGTCATGAGTAACAGCCTCAATTCCTAAATAGCTGTTACTACTGCTTTTTTGAGCATAAGTAACACAGAATATAGACAGCAAACAAAGAAGACACGAGGCTGATAAAAAATTTCAAATACTTTTCTAACAATATGAGGCCCATATTTTAGTATTTCATTCCTTTTCTCAAACAATGTGGACATTTATAAATATGAGAATATTTAGATATACAGACCTTAATAAATGAAGTGTTCTTGAAAATTTTATATGGAAAACCAGTTAGCTTTAATTTCTTCACAATTTTTATGGATTTATCCAGATCAAGGACAACTCCTGTGGCAGCTATCCGGAAATCAGGCCAACAGGAATCCCAAAATTTGAAAATAGGAATAATATCAGCAAGAGAAAAACTTCAATTCTATGTGACACAATAAATTACCAAAGTGAATTTTACTTACAATAGCTAAGAAAAACAAGAGAGACCATCTGAACTTGCAACCCAGTGGTTTGATAAAAGCAATGCAAAACTTTAAAACTGGTAAGCCAAAGTAATAAGGATGACTTAAGACTGGGTGTGATGGCTCACGCCTGTAATCCCAACACTTTTTGGGAGGCTGAGGTGGGTGGATCACCAGAGGTCAGGAGTTCAAGACCAGCCTGGCCAAAATATGGCAAAACCCCATTTCTACTAAAATACAAAAATTAGCTGGGCATGGTAGCGTGCACCTGTAATCCCAGCTACTTGGAAGGCTGAGTCAGGAGAATTGCTTGAACCCAGGAGATGAAGGTTGTGGTCAGCCGAAATCATACCACTGTACTCCAGCTCAGACAACAGAGTGAGACTCTGTCTCAAAAAAACAAAACAACAACAAAAAAGGGTTACTTGAGTACTTTCCTGCGACTGATTTCAGAGGAACATAATTTCACTATAATAATCTATTTGGAATGAAATGGAAAAGAAAAATGCAGTTGCAATGTTTAGGAAATTAAACTTTGGATCTTCAGGGCAGATTCCAACTGCTCATTATTTTGCTTTCTTCTCTATTAAATAGGACCAATAAACCTTGCCCTGCCTGACTGTTCAAATGAAAATGGAATGAACAGACTGCTACTCCAGCATGGCTGCAGGAAGCCTCATGTCTGGCTGGTCTCTGATGGCTCTTCACAACCTCATATAGTGCTCAGCACATGGCGAGCACTGCTTAAGTACTTGCTTAGATAAATACATCCAAAAAATGCACATAAATAGAAAATGTCTTCAGTACCATAATCCTTCCATCTCTCCTCCTATACTCCCACACCCTACTGAAAAGGATGTAGGAAGATTAAAAGCAAAGGGAAATTTACTTTATATTACAAAAAATGAGTAATTTTCAACTTAAAGTCTCATGTACATAATAACCCACAATCAGGATATATTTCTCAAACCAATCTGTAAAAGAAATTATCCAAAATAGTTACCATTATGCCACTGACAGACTGTACTGCCAAGAAACCAGTTCCCTGTGGAGTGACAGGGCCTTAAAGGAAAAGGAAAAAAAGAAATATAGCAAACGATTAATTTTAGATTCTAGGTTTACATATTGGATATGAACATTTACATCTGGATACAAATTTACCTATATACTCCAAACTACCTTCCCTCTCCCAGAAAAGAGAAAAATCTTAGGAGTGGAATTTTATGAAAGGAAAAGCACAAAGCTGTAATGATGCAGACTGTAAGGTTTAATCTTGGCAACAAGCAACTTATTGTAACCATATTTTACCCCAAAAGGTTGCTCTGCAATGCATGTACTGTGTCATGTACTTTAGAAGCCTTTGTCTTCCATTGTGGTCTTCAATATAACAGAGTGGGATGGTCTGAAAGCTCCTCCACCCTACAGAAAATATGACTGGATCTTGGAACTTGAGGATTTTCTTATACCAGCGATGTTTCTTCAGATGCATCTGAGGGGATGAAAGGGTAAGATGACTGACGGAAGGGGAATCCACAGAGCCTCAGGCACCAAATATGCAGCAAAGGGACCCACCTGCACGTATCAAACATTGCCCTCACTGTTGCCCAAGCCACCCAGGAAAATGGGGTAATGGGGGTCAAAGTTCTGCACAAATTTGCAGGGAACATTTTCAATCTCAATGCAGACGTACATACCAGGTCAAAAACCCTCATACTGAACTCTGGCTTCATCATCTTGATCCTCAAATTCTGCACAGTTCAGCTGTACATGACAGGAAAAAAAAAAATCCACATGCCATTATCTGTAATAAACATAAAATTGACATGAACAAATTAGCAACTTCTAAGTAAAGAACTGTGGACAGAATTACGTAGGCTTTAACCTATTAAAAATACCACACATTTGGCTGGGCACAGTGGCTGACGCCTATAATCCCAGCACTTTGGGAGGCAGAGGTGGGTGGATCACTTGAGGTCAGAAGTTTGAGACCAGACTGGCTAACATAGTGAAACCCTATCTCTACTAAAAATACAAAAATTAGCTGGGCCTGGTGGTGTGTGCCTGTATTCCCAGCTACTCAGGAGGCGGAGGTGAGAGAATCGCTTGAACCCAGGAGACAGAAGTTGCAGTGAGCTAAGATCATGCCATTGTACTCCAGCCTGGGCAACAAAGCAAGAGTCCATCTAAAACACAAACAAACAAAAAAACAACTACTACACATTTTACCTCTACAGTCTGCTCAGAATGTGTCAACTGTTTTCTTCCCTGCTGCTCCAAGGGACAGCAAATGTAGACAACTCTGTGGAGCCCTGTGTGCCCAAACACTGGAAACGTCCCCAGTCCACACCTTCTTTCCTTCTCTACAAGCAATTCTTTCACACTTTTCCCCTGTCTTCAAACACCCAACACCTCCCTCACCTTCACTTATCTGACGGCTGTTTACTGATTCATCCAAACCCAGAAGAACCTCCACAGTCAACCCTCTACCAGGGTTTCCTCCCGTATCCAGCCTTATCAGAGCTCTGACTTAGCCCATAGGAGAGCTATGTGTGGCTATTTAAATTAATTACAATTACATAATATTTAAAATGCAGTTCCTCAGTCATACTAGTCACACTGGAAGTGGTCCTTATCAGTCTGTGGCCAGGGTTACAATATTGGGAAGCAGAGACGTGCGTCTCCATGATAACGGAGAGTTCTACAGGCAGCTCAGGCACAGATGATCTGTCCATGCCTCCACTCAGGGCCACACATCACTTGCTCACTAGTCACCATCCACTCTTCCTGGACTTTATTCCAATGGCTCTTCTCTGTTATTTCTCTTATCGCAAAACCTTTGATTCCACTTCTCCCACCAACAACTGCTCCATTCCTCTGCTTCTCTCCACAGCAAAGCCCCACAAAAGTTTTCTGCAGTCACAGTCTCCAGTTCCTCTGCTCCATTCTCCTACATCCATGAAAAGTGGCGCTTGCCAAGATTCCTGAAGGCCTCCACGCCCCTCCTCCAGCGGCCAACTCTGCCTTGACGAGTTACCATGGCAGTGGGATCTGAACAATGTGTCACCTCAGTGTACAGCTGGCCTCCTGCATGCCTGCATGCTCACACTGCTTCTCCCTCCTGGGCACTGCTCAAGCCTCACCACCATAGTCGCCCCTCTCACCCACACCAGTCCTGCTCCTCCCACTCACTCTGCACTCACTCCCTGGTCACCTCACAGCTTTATGTGGCATCTACATGTTAAGAGCTGTTCATCTAAGTCCCTAGCTAGTCCTCTCTCTCTAGACCTGACACTCCGCTTGTTTGCATGACACCCAGCCAACCCAAACACCATCCTCCCAAAGCTGCATCCATAGAGCGTTTTCTGTCTAACTTACAACAATCCACCCTTCCGGGAACTTCCACACCCTTCCGGGAACTTCCAGTTGTCAACCTCATTTCCTCTCACACACCCCACATTCAGTCCACCAGGAAATCCTACTGACCCAGCTTCCAAATAAAGTATATCCAGTTTGATTCTTTGTCTCATCGCCACTGCCAACCCTCTGGTTTGTGCCACCCAAATGATCTCTTGGCAGAGTGATCTGATTACCTCAATGTCTCTCCTCTGCTCAAAACCCTCCAAGGACTCCCATTTCAGAGTGAAAAATTCAGTCTTTTACAATGGCCTACAGGCTCTAGGTCATTTTAAATTATAAATGGTGTGAAGCAAAGACTTCAGAGTTAGCTTATTCATGTCTGTCAAAGGTCAACACAGACTTGCAACTACTAAGCTAATACCTAATCAGGAGACAGTTCTTTGATTAGATGAAGACCTAGGGTGAGCAGAGCCTCTCAACTCCCTTTCACAAATTGTATACCTAATCTGTTTCAGCTTACAGACATACTCCTGGCCCCACTAACAAGGTGCAACTCAGATGCTTGCCATCAACTGTACACACATTTGTGTCTGTCTTCTTCAGAATGAGATCACCACCTCCAACAGCCTGCTCAGCACCCCCAGGCAGGAGGGCCACACCATCTCCCTTTATCTCCACATCTGACCTTACACTCCACATGTCCTTCTGAACTTTGACCAGGATGAGTTTTCAGAGCACTCCTCCTGGGAGCTCTGGTGTGTCCATAAGCCACAAGGGCCACTGATCGCCTGCTATTAAAATCAGGGAGCAGCGATCGGAATAGGCAGCCAAGGCTTGCACTAAAGCAAACACTGTCTCAGATCACTACACTGTGAAAGTCTCAAAAGCAGAGACCATGTCTCAGTCATTTCTGTTTCCTAATTCTTGGTACAAAATAGGTATGGATATTTTTCTGGTGATCTTCTGACTACAAAAACAATGAGCTCACTGCATGAATAAACACACTCAAATCATCTCTACCCAGAGTCCAAATGAATGGCAGAGAAGCAGGATAGGAAGCAGAAACCCAAAGTCAGATTCCTGTGCTATGACAGTCTTGATGGCTGAGAGGAACTGAGGTTTCTCACCTCTGCTTGTTTCTGCATTTCTCCTTTGAGATCATCAAAATATGTGCTTTCTCCTTCATCATATTCTGCATCAAACATCTCCTTCAATTTTCTCTTCTTATCCAAATGCTTTTTCTTGGCACTTTCCTCTTCATTGGGGTCAATTTATTCCTTAACTTCTTTCTCTACATCTTCATTCTTAAATTCCCAGAAGAAAAAATTTTGTATACATTTATGAAGGCCTTTTCTTTAAACATTAGATTTTTTAAAGTTTTATTTGAACAAAAATTTTAGCAAAAATCTGTTATCATTACCAATAAAACAAAACAAAATACGACATTTGTCTCTGAATTACTTGATATTGCTACAGGAAATGGTTACATCTGCATTACAATTAGTTTCCATTCCTTAAGCTGGCTGGGAACACAAACTGGAATAAAAATAACAGACATGTCCCTCACCCGGATGCCCCCAGACCCTGTTCTAAAAAAATATTAGGGAGAACAGGGACTTTGTTCTTTTAAATTTAAATTTAGAGAAGAGGACAATTAAATTTAAGAAGAGGACAATGATGGCAATGGTGGAATGTAACCCCAAGGAGCTAAGACTTCCATGAATGAAAAATCACAGTGGACTTGGCAAATGACGGGCAAGAAGCAGTAGTACGTGTCATCCGAAACTTAACAAGTAAACAAGAAAGCTTATCTCTGGTCCCCACATCCTGACCTTTTAGGAAGGAATCCATTCATCCAGTCTGCAATCGTCACATATCACAAGTCAGATTTGCATTTCTCAATGTGGGCCTCTCTCAGAACACAATGACCAAGAACAGCCAGTCATAGCAAAGTCATACCTGAGTAATGGGGCCTGATTTCCCCTTGTGCACATACCCTGTTTCCAAGTCTTCAAAGTCACCATAGAGCTCCTCTGGAAAAGAACACCCAAAGGCTGCTCTGTGAGCCAGGCATGCATGTGTCGCTGGTCCCACCCGCCACAGGCCCACAGTGTGCTCCATGTTCCAAGCCTCATTCTCACTGTTCCCATCATTACAAACACAGGCAGAACTTTGCACTCAGGAATGCTTCAAAAAACAGTATTTCGTCATCTCTTTAGGTAAACTAAATGGACCTGAGCCGCATTTCCACACTTCACGTCAAAATGCAGATCTCAATTTTTCCAGTATAGATAATGGACATTCTTTTTTTTTTTGATGTGGAGTCTTGATCTGTCACCCAGGATGGAGTGCAGTGGCACAATCTCAGCTCATTGCAATCTCCACCTCTTGGATTCAAGCAATTTTCCTGCCTCAGCCTCCAAGCAGCTGGGATTACAGGTCCCCACCACTGGGAAAGGCTAATTTTTGTATTTTTAGTAGAGATGGGATTTCACCATATTGGCCAGGCTGGTCTCGAACTTCTGACCTCATAAACCACCCACCTTGGCCTCCCAAAGTGCTGGGATTACAGGCGTGAGCGACTGGGCCCGGCCAATGGATGCTCTTGATGAGAGACACAGGTCTGTGTCCCCCAAAACTAATAGTTCAAAGAGTGAATAGAAAAGCCCCATGCTGATACCAGCATATGTGAAAAAGAGACTCAGTGTAAGTTCAACATGACACAATTGTGTAACACACCTAGGGGAAATCTTAGATTCTATAAAACATAGCATTTAGATCAAGAGTACAGCCCCAAACCACACCAAATCCATGGGAAGAGCTCATTCACTCATTCATTTCTTCATTTGTTTTTGGAGCTCTGAGCTCAATTATAGGTCTCACTCTTAAAAGAAATTGACAAGCAAGGCTGGGTGCAGTGGCTCATGCCCATAAACTCAGCACTTTGGGAGCCCAGGAGATGGAGTTTGCAGTGAGCCATAATTGCGTCACTGAACTTCAGCCTGGGTGACAGAGTGAGACCCTGTCTCAAAAAAAGAAAAGAAAAGAAATAAAAGAAATACACAAGTTAAAACTCATTTGGGAGGCAACATTTTAAAGGCTACTAAAACATTTTCACATAAGAGCCAAAGAACCAGGTAGAAGATATAACAGATAGGAGGCTCCTATTTGTAACAAAAGCAAAAAAGGATAAAAGAGAAATCAACCTAACAAGAAATATGCCAGAACTTTAGTTTTTTAAAAAAGAAGAAAAGCTTTAATAAGCTACCAAAGGATAAAAGGAATAGCATCACCGCCAACACTTGTAAGTGCTCTCCACACCAGGTACTGCGTTAAGTACTTTCCTTGCCTTAACCACACTCTTCAACTCAAGGAAGTAGGTGTTGTAAATATTATCTACGGAATAATGATATGCCCTTATTTGAAAAGAAAGACACAATATCACTAATATGCCAATTCTTCCTTTAGCAGTTACAACCCAGAACGACCACTAAGGACTTCTGGTCTAGAGAAGATAACACATTATTCCCTCCTGACTAAGAAGTGTAACCTCAACTGTAGAAACAGTAGACAAGAGATGATCAATGGAGAATTCTGAACGGTGGACAGAAAAAGGCTGCTGAGGGGCTCTAGCACTGGGGAATGCATAGTGGCCAGGTGTCTCCCTGGACCCCATCCAACAGGAGGGTGACCTAGGCACACTGTTTCCCAACTCCCAACCTAGCAACAGAAGGCAACGCAGGCAGGCTCAATCCCCCCCAGGACAAAGGCAATCTTCCCCACAAGAAAACCAGCTCCACACCAAGACAACCACCCACCCACCTAGCTGCAGCAGGTGGCCCAGCCGGGGGCAGCTTCCCTGGTCCCTCAGGTGGACACCAGCAGGGACTGGTGGGAGAGTCCCAGTGATACCAGATAAGCCAAACAAACCAAAATAGCACCATGAAAGCTCTGAAATTAAATTGTCATTAGAATCAGCCCACAAAGTAGACCAGGACCTACCTACTAAACCTAAACAGGAGAACTGCCTGCAAAAATAAAAAAATTACATAGGCCTTCTAGCGGAATAACCAAAATGTATAGGAATCAAGAGAATATCACCTGTTATACCACTGAGAAAATAATAATTTTAATGTGAAGGGACAACTGAAGACACCAACACTGAAATGAGTCAGATGCTGGAACCATCTGACTCATCGCTTTTAACAGCCAGTATAAAAATGCTTCAACAAGCAACAACAAATCCCATGGCAACAAACAAAAAACTGAAAACTTCAGCAAAGAGAATGGAAAAGAATCAAATGGAAATTAGAAATATAAAATACAGTAACATAAATTACAAAATAAATCTCTCAGGATGGGCTCTATTGAGTAAAAGTGGAGATGACACAGGAGAGAATCAGAGAACATAAAGCCTGATCAGCAGAATTCACCCAGTCTAAACAATAGAGAGAAAATAACCTGAAAACAAATGAACAAAAGTTGTATAGACCTGTGTGACGATAACAAAAGACCCTGCATTTATGTTATCTGAGTCTTACAGGAGACCAGAGCTGCGAGAGCACATAAGGAATTAATGCCTGATGCTTCCCACATTTGGTGAAAGATAGAAACTTACAGATTTCAAGAAGCTGAGCAAATCTCAAAGTATACCAAAGAAAGCAACACCAATTAAACTTTCAAAACTAAAAACAAAGACCAAAAATGGCAGAATGCCCGTAGGGACATGCCAACTCAAATGTCAGTATATTTTTCCTCTAAAATCATGGAGGCAAGAGGGAAATGCCATATTTTCAACTACTTTAAAAAAAAAAAAAAAAAAAAACCTGTCAGCTACAAATTCTATATCCTGTGAAACTACCCTTCAGAAATGAGAGAAATAGACATTCTCAGAGGAAGAGAATATAGAAATTCATCACTAGTAAATTTAGAAATGCTAAATATTGCTGTTACTTCTATAATACAGAAAATTAAAAAAATAGAAAATAAAAAAATGGCTACAGAAAGTTCTTATGCAGAAGGGATGAATATGGTACTACAGGAAGGCGGACAAAAGAGAAAGACCAGAAACGTGGACACATACACTAGACAATCTGGAGTTCAGCATTTGATGGCTGAAACAAAAACTATACCACCACTTAATATTCAAGCCAGCGATTTATAAAAGCAGAAAAGGTAACAAGACCCAAATGGAAGATGGGTTTCGAGACTTTGAAGAGGTAAATACTGGTACCAGTAGGCTGCTATATTACAATACTCATATTATAACATCCAGAACAAACACTTTAAGGCTATACAAAGAGATACACATAACATTATACAGAAATAAATCAAGATGGAAGGAAAGAAAAAGGAAACAAAGCAAATAATTAAAACATCAGACTTAAGCAATTATGCAACAATAAGTACCTTAAATATAAATGGTCTCAATAAACCAAAAGACAGACTGATGGGGAGCACAGCTATAATAAACACATGGCCCAACTAGATACTTTTCATAAGAAACTTCAAACTCACTTAACGATGTAAGTAGGCTGAAAGTTAAAGAATGGAGAAAGATATCTCATGCAATCATTAATTTTTTAGGGAAGCAAGAGTGAATATATTAATATCTCATGAAGTAGACTTCAGAGCAAAATAATTTATCAGAGCTGGAGACGGTCTTTGCTGAATTTTAAGATCTAAAATTTCCTATGCTGCCTTGACATCTTTGAGCCTCACAGAGTCCCAAAGGCCTAGCCACGGATTTTTCTGTTTCTACCAGACAGCCCCTACCCCGCCGCCACCCAGCAGGAAGGCTCCCCACCAGGCTAGTTCTTTTATCAGCCAGAGCAGCTGCACCTCAGCCTAACAAGTTTCACTTCACCTGTTTGCCAGCCCATGAATTTATTCAAACAAGCCAATCACAAACCCCTTGGGAACCAATGATCATTGTGCGTTCCTGTTACTATCAAGCCTGCCTGCCTCCCCCAAGCCCAGTCCTCACTCCGCTACTGAGTACAGTGCCCATCTGACCCTGGGTGGCATGCAGTGTCCTCTTCTAAGCTGTGAGTGTATGTGACTAAAACACTGCTGTCAGTCTCGTCCATTCACACCAGGTGTCATGTTCAGCCGTCTCCTATACTTTAGGGCAGGGACCCCTCCTTCACCAATGGGGTGAAAAGGAAGTGACCATAACAACTGCATAGCGACAATAGGATTAACCCACCAACATCCTCCTCTCAGCAACTGTTAAAACTAGGCAGAGGCCGGATGCAGTGGCCCAAACCTGTAATCCTAGCACTCTGGGAGGCCAAGACAGAAGGATCGCTTGAGGCCAGGAGTTCGAGCCTGGGCAACACAGCAAGGACTCATCTCTCCAAAAAATTTTAAATTTAGCCAGGTGTGGCAGCACACACCTATAGTCCCAGCTACTTGAGCTTAAGGCAGGGGAACTGCTTGAACCTAGGAGGTCAAGGCTGCACTGAGCCATGTTTGTGCCACTGCACACTCTAGCCTAAGTGACAGAGTGAAACTAGGCAGAAAAGGAGCAAGGATTTACAAAAGATCTGAACAGTCAACCAGCAAAATCTGACATCTGTACAAAACCCCACTCCCCAACAGGAAAATACATACATTTTTAAAGCCAACAGAACATCTACCAAGACAAAGTACATTCAGGGCAATAAAAGCAATTGCAGCAAATAAAATCATTCAAGTCATAAGAAAATGTTCTCAGAACATAATGTAGTCAAGCTAGAAATCTATAATAGAAAAAGAGAAAATTCTCTAAATATTCAATAATTAAAACTACGTACTTATAAATAATGCATGGGCCAAAAAGAAGGCCCAAAGGAAATATGAATGAAAATACAACATATGAACATTTGTGGAGTGCAGCTCAACAGTGCTAGGAAGGAAATTTAAGCACTAAATACTCACATTAGAAATGAGAAAAGATAGGCCAGGGGTGGTGGCTCACAGCTGTAACCCCAGCACTTTGGGAGACCAAAGTGGGCGGATCATGAGGTCAAGAGATCAAGTCCATCCTGACCAACATGGTAAAACCCCATTTCTACTAAAAATACAAAAATTAACTGGGCGTGGTGGTGTGCACCTGTAGTCTCAGCTTCTTTGGAGGCTGAGACAGGAGAAACGCTTAAACCTGGGAGACGGACATTACATCACTGCACTCTAGCCTGGCAACAGAGCAAGACTCTATCTCAAAAAAAAAAAAAAAAAAAAGAAAAAAAAAAAAAAAAAACGAGAGAAATTTCAAAAAGATAAACCAATAATCTAACAAATTTGAAAAAGAACAAACTAAGCCCCAAACAAGCAGAAGAACAGAAATA